AGTTACTTGCTCATATCCTTAACATGACCAAAATAACCTTCAAAGCGAGCAATTAATATTTTCATCGTTGACATGGCATGTGTGTCAGTGTGTTTATGAGATACTAGTTATGGAACCATATGATAATCCATAAGAATTTCATCGAATCCCTAATTTGGAGCAACTCTGTTAAACTTTATTGTGTTAAACCGACTGGAAAACCATTTTACAAATACAACATTATAATTTTGCAATGTAATTTTCTACACTCAAAATCTAACCTAAAAATGCAGCTGAAAATAAAACCGATAGAGATAATACAGATTTTGAATGAGAGACGAAATAAATAAATGTAGTATATATATGGACAAGTTGGGCTAGGAAGTTTCTTTGCCTTTTTCCAATCAACATTTTGAAAAAAAAAATCACCGCACGTCCACAACTTATTCAGTCAATCTGATTATCGTTTAATGATATAATATGATTTAGTCATTCTTAGGTAGCGTATTCAAATACTCCTCTCGTCTCGTACAGCTATCTCAGACAGAGACTTGTTCTCTGATAGATTATGATAGTAGACAATATTAATAGTATTGCCGAGCTGGTCTTTCTCTTCAGAAGCGACTTCTATTCTAAATCTTGCTTTATATTTCGATTGGTATCTGAGTAGAATAGTAAATGTATCTATTCATTACTTTATCGTGTGTGTCTTGTCAAATTTCTACATTTGTATTTGTGACAATGTATAATATAACTAAATTTGTTTACTGTGCGGAATTAATCAGGACCTACAATACTTGCAGCTTTTTTTTTCTATGAACTCAGCACTTAACTTGATCTTGCGAAGAATATTGTATTTCATTATATGCAAATTTATACGTCAATAGTTCTTACTTGTTGTTTGATAATACTCATATTCCATGTGTCCATAATTACTTATTTATTTAAAGAAGTGTCTGAATAAGATATTATGTTTTATCTTGTATTTCTTTCATCTTATATTTACTGTGGAAAAATAAGATTAGAACCTTTCTTTTAGACTGATCTCAAAGAACAAGACTATTATCAATTGATCTTAGAACTTATCTCTCAATTTAACAATATGACTAAACGAAACAAACCTGCTAATGTAAGAATTAATAAAACGGGCTCCACGCACTTGACGTTAGATATCAACAAATCTCTCCGCGATAGATTTTCACTATCAAAAATAAAATCACACAAACAAATACTATGATCTGTATGATTGTTTTCACACTCAATATATATGACAATAAAAAATTTATAATAGCAAGGCTCGAATTGCCGGTTATCCCCAATACAGAACTTCTAGCAAATGCGCGTGCAGAACACTCACATTAGCTCAAGTAGGTACTAAGAGACTATAATATCTCACAAACGACTGTGTGCGCACGAGGATATTTGAATCAAACATGGCGTTCCATATAGTCATATAATCAGCAGGTATAATCAGTATAGAGGACGTCTGATTTGATTCATTAATTGTTAGATATAAAGAAGTGATGTACCTTCAACAGTTAAGTATTTATTTAACATAAACAGAAGAAAAAACTACCAAAGCAAAATATGTTCCACACCTCATATAACTTTGTTTACAATTAACAGATATCTAATCTGGATCGACGATGAGTAAAAACCGGGTTACGATTGACCTGTTCCGCATAGAATAATAACTAAAATAAGGGCAATTCGTTTGCGTTCCGCACAAAGTAGCATATTCTATACTGATTAGTGTAATGATGTTACAAGATTGAATAAGTAAAAGAAGATAAGTGATCTGGTAAGTTACATTATAAAGTAAAACATCTTATAGATTTTATCTCGATAAAGAAATGTTTATGCGTACCTTATTTTCATTAGTAAAACGAGCTACACTCAAGTTGGAAATAGATCACTGCTTAACAATTCAAAAGCACGAAACGGCAAATGATATAGATAAGAAAATGTGATACTCAAATGGTCTATTAAACCATGTTATATTGATCGTTATCATTAATTGTGTCTTACACAGTGGTTATTCTAGATAAAAGGCAACCAGCTTAGATCTTGGGTTAGGCGACCGCTGAACGTCATGAGATTGTGTCTCTTTATAAATTGCTTAGAACTCATTTTTTTGTAATCAGAAAAGTACTTTCATTTAGAAACGCAGCGTCTTAAGTTGTTGTTCATCGCAAACTTCTTAGAAAATCAGCTTGTATCCCTAGTCGTAAAAAAGAGTTTTTCAAATCGATATTAAATTTTGAAATCAAATTAAAGTTACGAGTTATAAAATAAGTAAGAATTCCTGTAATTTATAGCTGTAGCCCCGTTTAAGAAGTTTGCTTGTAATGAAATTTCATATATTCCGTTATTAAAAATCCTCTTTCAGGCTACATATCCTGCAAAATCTATAAATTGAGAACATATACCCGTTAGATGTTGAAATGAGTTACACTCAATCTAATATCGATACTTGTTTGACTATCTTATCAAGTCATCTCTTATAAAATTTTTGAGTTAATAATATTTTATGACTGTACATTAAAGATCAAAATTATGATTAAATTTTAAATAATCGTTTTTTCGTGAATGTTTTTGGATGATTTAAGACACATTTGATAAAGTAATATTTTTAAATAAGATACTCAATGTATCGTATCGGGTCATATCAACAACATATATGTTGCCTTAAAAAAGAAAGTGGTCACAATCTTCGTTACAGGTCCACCCACATAGTATAATGTTTTATGATACCGTTTGTAAAAACACCTTTTGAGAATAACATTGTAACTTTTTCAAGAGTGGACACGGAATACAGCGTCTCCAGTATATCCCCTTCAAATTTTGTTTGCAGGGGATATGATTGCTATATTATAATGAAATCTTGAATTTCTGCAATTGAAATCATGAAGTCACGAGGTTAAAATTGCAAAGTTTGAAACATGATATCACGGTTGTAAATTCATGAAGTTTGAATAATAAATTCGTTAAGTTAAAGACGGGAGGTTTAAAAACGTGAATTTATGAAGTTTATGTAATTAAGTCACGAGGTTGAAATGGCGAATTCGTGAAGTCTAAAAACGTCCATTTATGAATATTTATCAATAAGTTGAAATTTAAATTGTGAATTTATAAAGTTAAAATCGTTAATTCGTGATGTCTTTATATTCAAAATAAGAATAAAATAATTGAAATCGTACAGTTTTGAAACATGTTATTGGGATTTAATGAAAGTTAAACAGAGGAATCTTTGAATTGAAATCTCCGCTCGTCTTTTGAAAGTGGAGAGCTCATGAAATGAAAATCCCCGATATGGTCTCTCTGTCTCTCATAATTATTCAACAAAACTGATAAGAGTAGAGATTTTAAACAAATATCAAACAAGTAAAAACACAGCAACATTATGATAGGCCATGGCTATTCAATTTTATTATTGAATGAATTGATATGATATAACTTCAAATCTTTGATTCTAAGTTTGATCTATCAATATACCATCTGAATGTGTTAGTTTCCCTGTTAGTAGAATATGTTTATCAACAGAAATCAAAGGTCAAATCTTTCTTCATAGAATGAATAAGTATGATAATTTTTCAACTTTTCTCAATTTTAAGTATTAGTTGGAAAATATTTAAGTGATCTCAGGAACAGTTTTTATGAACAGCAGACTGCAGGAGACTCTAAAAGTTTTTTCTAACACCCGTTACCAAAATTAAATTTTTAAGCAAAAATTCTATAAAAGAGAGATAACTCTTGAAATAAAGATGCATGATTTAAGAACATTGTCATACATGATGTGAGTGTAACAAAGAACAATTATTTCAAGTTTAAAGATACAACTTATAGTCACAAATAAGAAATGTAATAACAAAAACAATTTTGAAATATACCATTAACATGTATAGTAGTAACAAATATAAAAAAAATATTTAAAAAAAGTAAAATGTAGGTTTTAATAATGAATGTTTATTTTGACTTTGAAGTAAATCCATGAAGAAATAAGAAAGTTATAGAATGAATAAGAAAAAAGTCAAAGGGAGATAATTCTGGAAATATTGATTCTTGATTTATAAAGGGACATAATTGTGGAAATAATCTTGCTAGTGTATTGGATCTTCTCACAAATTTTGAGTGAATATAAGAAACATATATATTAAGTTTGTAGATACATTAAGAAATAAATAATTTATTTTAAAAAAAATCAATATTTTTTCGATCAAGAGAGGTAATTCTGATAAATTTTGTGCCATAGTTGTAAACCTTGTCACATATGATGCGGTTGATGACTAAAAACTTATATTTAAAGTTTGAAGTAAATACCTTAAGAAATAAAGTACTAATAGTGGAAAAGCGTAAAAACTAGAATCAGAACTCTCGAAATTCAGTCTATTTGTTGCCATATTTATAGTTTAACATAGAAAAACAAGATGTGCATAATCTCCAGACTGCCATCTACCTACTTTTCAGGTTTCATACAAATAATATCAGCACTTTTTGCGTTATCTCTGGATCCATTTGATGTGCTAAATCTGCCATATTTTAAGTCTACTTATTACCACAGCCAGAATTTCAAACATAGGAAGAAAGAAAGACATCTTTAAACTCCATACTGCCATTCGTCCATATATTGAGTTTCATAAAAATATTTTCAGTACTATTTGCGTTATCGCGGGATCCGGTTTTTCGGACGGACGGACTGACCGACGGACAGATGGACGAATGGACAGAGGGACGGACGTTCTAACGGGACAATTATAATGTGGCTACCCTATTGTTCTCTCTTTTGTTCTTCTTAGCCACACAAAAGAAAAATAGCCACATAAAAGCATTACGTAATGAATGACATCAAGGAGAAAGAAAAGTAACCTATTGTTCCTCTAGTCACATTATTACTGTCCCGTGAGAGCAGACAGACAGACAGGCGGACTGACGGAGGGTAAACCTAAAGTCCAATCCGGTTAACCATAAGGGGACTAAAAATAAAAAAAAATGGCTACAATCTTAAAGAACTTCTAGTGATTTAAACAGATGGTCTCATCTGAAATTTTTATTTTAAAGTAACAGAAAATTCTCTGGGGACAAACTTTAACAAATATGAAAGAAAATATAAAGAGAAGATTTACTTTATAAAATATTCAAACAAAAATGAATTTTACCTTCTTACTGGGTAAATTGTTTTTACATTTCAAGTTTGTAAATTTAAGGCACTATAGACTATCTGCATAAAGTCGATATGAATGAAATATAATTTGTTTCAAAATTGTTGTTAAGTAGTATCACACAAGTTTATTACCATGCAGTGAATGTAACGCTGTTGCCGTTGACCCAATTAAAACTTGTCTTCTTGTTTTTGTCCGTAAGTCGTCTTAAGCCTTTTTAAATCAAAATAAAAAGAAACGGAATTATAACAACCCTGGAATAAATCAGTTAATTTACAAAATATTTTACATTTTTTGTTTGCGGATAAATAAGTTTACTCATACAAGAATAGTGTCTAAAATGTGTTATATATTTTTCCATAGAATCATTAATATAGACTCGAAACACATTTTCTTTTGTTGTTGACATATCTCACCCATTATTGTGTCTCTACCTATAAACTTAATACTATACTGAGGATTTATCAAACGTTTTAATCAGTACTAAGTCTTGCATTTTAGATAATGAATCACTTTACCATTTAGGCGTTGTATGATAAAGGTCAATGACTCAATAGATAATTACATGCGTACTTATAACATTGACTAAACTAACAATATCCTTTTTTCGTTCACCCAAAACATCGCCGTATGTTAGTTATAAAAACACAGGACGGTAAGGATGACGTACAAACTACACATTCGGAGATTAACTTGTTATGTTTTTTTTTCTCCAATAAAAATAAAATAACGCAAATAGTAAATGCTCTAACTTAATAAATTATTAGAAAGCACATTTAAAAATATTTGTTGCAATTTTTTATGCGTTTAATCTCTTTGTTGAACAATCGATTTTGTGTATTTCAATCTCTTTCTATGTGTTAAAACTCATCACAAAAATATATCATACTATGTTTATGTCTTATACTATCTGTGATTACAGAACTATCGGAAAACGAGATTAAAATATGGTATTTCCCTTTTAAATCACAAACGTAACATTGTAACATATTATGCTAAATATATATAACTTTAAAATAGAATTTTGAATAGTTATTTTCAATCAAGCTAGAAACATTGATAAGATGAAACTTTAATGTTTATGAAAAAAAAAATCAATCACACTTTATTTCAAAAGTTACCAATATGTGCTCCATAAGGTTTGTTATACCGACGTCTGTACCAAGCAGAGTAATGATCATATAACTGAAAACGTAGAAGGTATTGTATGTAATTCATTTCCATTCGTGATGCTATAGTGACAAGATGTTCACTGCGCTGACGGCATTTGCGGTTTGCAATATCCCATGATACCCCATCATGGAATACTGTATAGCATTTTCTTAAAAGCCCTGAGCAAGAAATAAGCCCTGAAATAAAGAAACGTGTTCCATTTATAAATATTTATTGTTCCATTAGGGGATTAAATATCATAAACAAAATACCGTTTGTCATGCACTTCTTCAAAACACTTGGCCATAGTCAACAACTAAGTATATCGTCTCAAATTTTCAGGATTGAAACAAAAGGAAGACTTTTATCTTTTAATGGTCAATATTCAATACACTACAATTTCAATACAATTTTCATACACTAAGGATATACAATGTAATGGAATCCCTTTATATAATTATAAACTTCACTGAAGTATCTGCTGAGCTGACATTAAAAAAATATCTAAAATTTATTTCGTTTTTTGATAAACGATGTAAGTTTCGATTTTGCTCTGTATTTATACCTGAGTCAGATCCTTTAACCTCGGTAGTATACCTTTGAAATGAATGATCTGATATTTTGTAATGTAGCCGAAATCCTTCAACACGCCCCTTTATTTCGCCCATCGCATACGTATATGTCGACCCATCCCAATGTCGATAAATCAAATTAATACTTGAATCTTTTGATTTATATGTCTCCGGTGGAAATACTCCAGAGCAAAACTCGGTTTCGCGGAAAGCATCTTTGATAGCAAATCTTGATCTAAAGTCTATATTAATGTAACAAAATATCATTTACTAAACAAGATGTTATCACAAATTAACTTTATGAAGTACACAAAATGCAGTGTAAGCATTAGAATGGAAATTGACTACAAAGCACAACAAAAGACTTAGCATTAACATAATTAAGTAGACATTTTATTTTTTATTCGCCACTCAAACTTAGCCGGTGAAACAAAGAAAAAAGACATCCGATAGAAAAAGACCTCCACTCAATATAATAATAAATTGGTTAATATGATGAGGAACATGACATTTGTTGTGTATTGAAAACAGTATTCAGTGGAACCTTTGGAAGTTTAAAAGATTCAAGGATGCTTCATCATGATTGTATGCACATGTCATGGCTATATTTATACTTTAGTATTTAGTGAATGTTTACTTTTTTATTTTTTTTATTATTATGCTACTTAAATATTGAGGCAGGTACACTTGTGCATTTTTTATTTGAAGTGTTTCTATTTAATTTACAGTATTTGTTCGAGACTTTGTGTAACAGCCTTATTATATGTTACATGTTCTCTATACATTGGTAACTATATGCTTAAATAAGTTATTTATTTTATAGTTGTACTGGGGTTTTACTATTGCTAAGGGTGGTAATCAGAGTGCTTTGATTCTGAAATAAAACGGAAATCGTCAGAATACCAAGAGTGTACAAATGAACTTCCTGTCAATATAATTATGCTTGGAGAGTCAATTTTCTTTTTCTTAAATGAACATGTGATATTTGCTTTAAAGAATACTGACTCTCCCCGTTTTTTGTAAAATATTGTGGGAGAAAAATAATGCGCAAAATGTTGTCATAATCACAAGTAAAGGAAATGAACTAAAAGAATTGCAAAAATTGTTTATGACGCACAGGAGTGTCCTTTGCGTAATAGTTTTGCTCACCCGTCCTTTTATCCAAAAACACAATTCTATACTGACGCTTTCATCATTCTTATTGATAAAAAGTGACACCTAGATTGGGAGACTGATATCGTTACCATTTGTCCATCGCTTCACTTGATCTTCTGTTTAATGTTATGCCCTATGATTTATTAATAACACAAAGATATTACCTGCACTGTTTTGAATTGCTATTCAGGGATTGAACGTAGAACAAATTAACGACAAGGAGTACAAGTGAGTAAAGTGAACAACAAATGAGATACAATTTCCTCTTTAAATATCATCCCATTTACAGCTGCTACATTTGGAATAAATTTTATTCAGACTTGAGATTGGGTCATGCTTTAATTTAAAAACAAATGCTTATGTTTATATATTCTTCATGTCCTTTAAACAAGTTTTCATTAACATGTATAATATTATGAAAAGGATTACCTTTAGATAATTACAACAAGTGACAGGGGGTCTCTTAGTGAGTGTCATCCTTTCGTTTCGGGAAGACACAACATGATGACCAGGGTTATACTATTATGAACAGGGAGTTAATATTCTTTAAAATGTATCATCGGGGTCACACTTCTATTGGGGTGGGTGGGGTCATTTTCTTCGTTATCACGCAGAGTGTTTTAAATTGCATTTAAAGGATATCTATCTTTTTAACAATTGCATAGAATGACATAAAAATTGAATCAAACAAATCGCATTAATCGATGCAAGTACATAAATATCCTTTATCACATACAGGACTTTGGTTGAGGTTGGTCATGATGAGTAGGTGACCACTATAAAATTTGTGGTCAGACGGCCAATGTCACTGTAGACTACATACCTTAAGGGTTCTCCCAACCAGTTACATGAGAGCACTTCAGCCTACAGTCTTAAGAGTTGTTGTGGAGGTTTGTCATGACTGTTAGATGACCGTTAGAAAGATAATGCTTTGTAGGTCAATGGACAACTTTATAAATTTTGAGGTGAGATTGAAGCATCAAGTACTTGTTTTATTTTTAAACAGACAATATTTAATACGAAATACGCTCGTTCGCAAGTCATTGAATACACTTGCATTACAACCGCTGCTTTAACAACGTAGATTTATGATATTGACTTTTATAGGTGAATTTTACACAACCAAAGGACGTTTACGAAATTCCATTTGACCCGAAAATCTGTATTCACATTTTCATCGGTTGAAACAGATCAAGTCACTACAAAAGTTATTAGTAAACGGGTTTGTAAACAAAATCGATTTGACCATACCGCCTGACTTTTTGGGTATGTTTCTTTAAATAACTTTGCTTATCTCAACCGATTTTGACCAGATAAGACACATAGTACCAGTCATTATATAAACCGAAAATATGAAAAACCTCGAATATATTTTGTGAACATTCTAGTACGATTATTTTATTCATAGCCGGGACCGAGGGGAACAATACACACTTATTTATCACAACAAGCATTTTTTTAACAGTTCGTCTGTTTTACCCATTCTTTCATTAACAAATACTTGCTAAATCTTATAAATTGGTTATGTCCAATGTTTCTAGTGAATACAGTGATGTTTTAGCATATTTTAATAAAGTTTTGATGAAATGGTTAATAAATTCAAACGTGGCCCCAGCTTTGCCGTGTGCAAAATGCGCAGCGCTTTTAAGTTTGGGAACCACATAATTGGATGGCTTCGTTCATAGCCGACTGGCACGTTTGAATTTATCGAAAGATTTTGTCAATGGTGGAAAACGGCGATAATCTTGATGTTTATTTTGGCTGTTGCGTTGTTAACATTACCGTTTAAGTTTAAAATTGACCATCATCGTGGAGAATTATATCTTCTGTGTCGATGCACCAAAGGATTATGTGGAAATATTGGAAATGGAATAAAATACATGGTGATTATGACGGTAGGGGTGCGGATTCTTTCCGGCGAACATTTTTATCTTGTGTATTATTATAGATGGTGAAATATGATTTTTTTTCAAAACGGCTCATATTTAGTTTTTTATATATATATATGATCAGGACATGTGCTGGGATTGACAAATATGCATTTTATTTGGATTTTAAAGGCGTTTTGAGCTCCAAACCCCAAGTGTCTGTGCATTTAGTCGTTATTGTAATCATTACATGCGCCATATGTAGTATATTCGTCGATTATTTATCAATTACAAATCGATTTCTTTGGGTAAGAAAAAAAACTTCATACATAGAATTGCTATATTTTATACTCTTACTTGCGCAAATATAATATATCATATTTAACAACAGCATCGCATAGCCTGGCAATATACACCCGAATGCAATTTTGTTTTACGTAAATAAAATTCAAAGTTACCCAAAATAATGTTTAAATAGAGAGGATACCCGTCCAAAACATGTTTTTTACTTCAGTTATCAATATTAAGATATATATTGATGCATGCTAAAGAGCTATGCTTAGTGACAATTTTATATGCCACAGCTTCCCGCTGTGGAGTACATACCCCAGACATGTCACCACTTTAGGAAACTAACTTTAAAGCACAGCGTAGTGTTTATTTATTCCAATGCAATTTTCACGGAGTATATATACTGACTGAAAACAACATTAATGTTGGTTTATAAATAATAACAATTCAAAGAAACATACAAACAACATCATACCAGAAATTCAAAAGCACATAATTTTATGCCTAAAAAATATTTAAAAACATAAAAATGCTATGCTTACAAATAATTTTCTTCTTTTATATCATAACATCAAGTCTCAGACAAACATCCATCACAAAACTGATAATTCCTTCACAAAGTGATGATACATACTAAAAATATATACTCTGCGTCTTATATGTGGGAAGGGAAAGCTTTTAAAACATGTATACTATATAAATATGTGTGCATGTAAACTGTGCCAGACCTATCAAACACCCCACCAACCTACTGGCCACAGATATTATTTTCAATTTCAGTGAAATAATTTTGAAACAATAGCAGGGTTCTTCTATGCAATGATACATGCTAAATAGCTGAGATCTGGGATTTGTAACTTTACATAAGAATAAGTTTTCCTATCTATGTGACCCCTGGGGCATGACCTATTTTTACCCCAGGAGCATGATTTATTTAGATTGAGAAGATGTATTGTTTTGGTATTTCTTCCCCCTATGAACATATATCGGTCTTTGAATAAGTTGTGTGTGTGTGTGTGTGTGTGTGCGTGTGAGAGAGAGAGAGAGAGAGAGAGAGAGAGAGAGAGAGACAGAGAGACAGACAATGACATTTTATTTAGTGAATTTACATATCTCCAGTAACATCACTTTCTATTGATAATATTGTCTCATTTCAAAATAATTAAATCATATATACCTATAAAAGCTCCTCAATGATTATAATCTTAACAGGACGATACATTCAAAATGTAAAATTTAATTAAAAAAAAAACAAAAAACATTATAATGTGATATATTTTGGAAATTAAATGGAAGTAAATACATATATTACATAATTGCTACCATTTGAAAAGAAACAGAGCGGACACAAAATTTTAAAATTAAAACAAAATTACTTAATGTAACCTTGACCTGAGAAAGGTCAAACCTGTATTTCGCATATTGTCTCATTATGATTAACATTTCGGCTAAGCAAATTAAACTTTTTTCACCGGTTCAAAAGATACAGACCGGACAAGAAAACTTTTTAACAAGTCCATGTAAATAAATTTATAGCCGGGGTTGGCCAATTGAAATTGTAGGAGGTCCAAACTTGTGTTCTGCACACCGTCTCAATATAAGTAATATTCCTGCCAAAATGTTTTAGTTTCTTCCTATCGGTTCAAAACATGCAGAGCGGAAAAAATGATATTGAAACAAAATGAATAAGTTTGACCTTGACCTAAGAAAGGTCAAACAGCGCTCTGCACATTGTCTTATTATGGTTAACATTTCTGTCAAGTACTTTGATTTTCCTTTCACCTGTTCAAAAGACACAGACCAGAGACGAAAACTCCCATTTAAGTCTATATCAATACATTAATTCCCGGGGTAGGCCCAATTTTAATTAAAAGTCCAAACTTGTGTTCAGCACAACGTCTCAATACAAGTAATAATTCTGCCAAACTAGTTGGTTCTATCGATTCAAAAGATACAGAGCGGACAAAAAAATGATATTGAAACAAAATGACTAAGTGTGACCTTGACCTGAGAAAAGTCAAACCGCGCTCTGCACATCGTCTCATTATGGTTAACATTTCTGTCAAGTAGTTTGATTTTCCTTCCACCTGTTCAAAAGATGCACACCGGACACGAAAACTCCTATATAAAGATTGATATAAATCAATAAATCCCCGGGTGGGGGCCAATTTTAATTATAAGTCCAAACTTGTGTTCTGCACACCGTCTCAATATATTAAGTAAAATTTCTGGCAAAATATTTCCTTCTACCGATTGAAAAGATACAGAGCGGACAAAAAAAATTGATATTGAAACAACATGACTAAGTGTGACCTTGACCTGAGAAAGGTCAAACCTACGCTTCGACAAAGTCTTGTTACGGTAAAAACTTCTGCCAAGTAGTTTCAATTTCCTTCCACTGATTAAAAAAATACAGACCGGACAAGAATACCTGCTAACAGACAGACGGACGGACACTCCGACATTTTGGTTTTAGGGGCAATTTTCTTTGTTATTTTCTTTTGTTTGCTTAAGGGCTACTAGCCCATAAGCCCTTTGATCACGGTATGAACCTATTGCTCTGTTTTGTTCCCTTTACCGTTATATAGTCTTCTCAACCCAAAATGCTTGCTCGGACAGACGGACGGACGAACAACCAGGTGCATAACAATATACGCCGAAAAACTTTCTGGCGTATAAAAATGCTGCAAAGTGCATTGGATGTAAAACGTTAAACTAGTTTTACTAGTATGTATAAGTATAGTGTTGAACCGTTTACAAAACATTTACTTGTGGATATTTTCGGTTAATTTTGACGATTTCTTAACCTAAAATGACATTATGTAGTCAAATAATAACGTGTGTAACCGCCATATTCCCGAATAATAACTTCAACCCTGTACCGTTCCCTTCAGCCCGGCTATGATAAAAACTTTACAAGAAAGTTTCCAAACTTTTCTGAACTTTTATTTCCGGTGGGTGGCTTATTTAATGACGGATACTCGCCTTATCTTATCAATATCGTTTGAGTAACAGCAAAGTTTAAATAAAAAACATGCTTGAATCAGGTGAAAAACTTGCGTGTACCATAACCAAAAAGTCACGTGGTATGGCCACATTGAAATAGCTTCTCCAAGAGATCTCTGCTGATGTTCGTGTGAAGAAAGTAGGGATACATTTGGTTGTTCTTAACAGTTTCATTGAGGTTGTGATATTGACAATATTAGTAGGAAATATGGCAGACACGTAACTGTGTTTTCAAGGAAAAGCTCATCTTCATCATCTTAATCGTTCAAGAATAACAAGAGAAACCTGTTTCCGTTCCGCGATCTACATCGAAAAAGAACCCCACTAACAGATATTAAAAGAGGAAAAAATGGTATGAAGTTTGATTTATTATGTTGAACGTGTGAAGTAT